TCAATCAATCAACTGTTACTAACTACTATTTTTTCCCACACACACACGCTTTGATGACAACATTGGTCTTGTTCACCTAAGGGTTCCTAAATTCTTTCAAGCAGTTACTTGTGGCTTATGGTTGTGTGTTCCCAATTTTATGGGTTTTCTAATCCCCCTGCTTCCCTCGCTTCAGATTTAGCCAGATTCTGGCTTCCAGTAGGCAATGGATGGATCTGAAGAGGCCTCATGTACCGAGTTAAGGCTTAGATGTAAAGCCTGCCAGTGGCTGGCTTTTAGATGTAATGCCAGCGGTACTAGATTTAATCTAAAGGAGCTACTGAGGGGATCCTCCCAGAAAAACCTATAGCACCTGCACAAGTGAACAAAACAAAAACCACAAAAATGCTAGGAACTCTGAATACACAGTACAGTATTTTAATAACATATTGAAACATTAAAGCTTTGTAAAGAGAAAAAGTTGGGATAAAAATCAGAAGGTTTATTATATCATGACTGCATATTTCTTAAAAGTGAAATTTTTTATCATTAAATTTAAGGAGTTATACACCATTGTATTAAATTTGTTCTCATTTCTTTTCAGGTCGATGTATGGTTCTTAAACTGTAGGAAACAAGAGCAGACACCTAGAAAGGGATATAAGAAAAATTAAATCAAATATAACCCCTTAAATATGATAATTCAAAAATACATTTTTTAATGATGTTTATAAGAAGCATGCGCAAAATTATAGAAATCAAAACATTCTAATACTATTTCAATTTGTGAATTCTTAGCAGTTTTGTGGTTTTGCTCTATGCAGGGTGCAGGGGCCATAAGTTTGTTTTGGTGCCAGTTGCTGGATACACACAACTTTACCTTATGACAAACTACAGTTGCTAGCTATTTTTACTTTTTTATTTCAGCTTTTAACATAATTACACTGTAACTAGACAAAGCAACATGCCTCATTAGAGCAGAATTTAGAATTTAAGGGTTAATATTACCACACTACACTTGTATACTGTGTATTTTAGCATGCACTAATCTGTGACATGACAACTGACAAGACTTGGTGATGGAGCAGCACTTCGGCTTCTTATCTGCTGATTACGTCTAATCCAGAGAGATAACTCAACCCCCCACCCCTCCCCAAGTGCTGTGCTTTTTTTGAGGATGAAAGGCACTCAAATAAAATTATTTTACAAAATATTAATTATTCAAAATTCATATGCACAACTTCTAAATGCTTGTAATCACCAAATTGCAAAAATGCACTCATCACAATTATAAATTTTTCTAACTGCAAGTACAGTAGACATTCTCTTTTCCACTGCCCTATATGATACGACTTAACATTAATTTGCTTTTCACACTGTAATGATTTTTTTATTTTTAGTCTATTTTCTAATAGAAAACATAGACCAAGTGGTGTGAATCAACTTACTTAAATATACAGTAATTAATTATTGTACACATAATTACATGTTACAATAAGCAAAACAATATAATACAGTACTGTATTGTATATGTTGATTATGTCACAAATAATAAACAAGTGTGAGGTATAAATGTGAACAGTTTCATGGTGGTCTTGCGAGCAGTTTGTGCTACTTCATGGGGCCACGTTTGATTCTGTCACTGATAAATGATAGCATGTATCTGGTCCACATACTGTACAAGTTTTGATAGCCAGAAGATCTGGTTTAACATTACAGAATGTGGAAACTTTATATCTAGGTGTCTGGATGAAATCTAAGTATAATGGGGAATTATTTTTTTCTTTGGAAAGGGTTAGAAAGAAAGGGTTCTTTTCATTGCAGTAGAGGATTAAAAAAATGCAAATTACTGCATTTAAACAAAATATTCAATATAGGCCTATGAATTCATCACAAATTACAAAATTATTAGTGGAGTTTGTCAATGCAATATGGTCCTCATAGTGTAGTGGTAAGATACTCCCCTGGCGTTTCGCGAGTGTCTTACTCGCAATATTCACTTTATATATAAAGTTTGTTCAAAAGTTAGTTGGTTGTGAACTAACTAGCACAGTTAGTTCACAACCAACTGGACCAAGAATTTAATTCCCAGGCAAAGCAAGACATTTGGGCACATTTCTTAATATGTAATGCATCTGTTCACCTTGTCGGTAAAGAACCGACCCCATTTACGTATTCTCTAATACAATATGCAACTAACTGTGTTGCTGTTCTTGTACTAATCTATTAACCAATACTAACACAAATTAATCAAGTCATTCATTCAAAGAAAACAAGATTACAGTGAAATTTTCCCTGAAACATGGGATATTATTTCATGCCGTAAAATATCCACATCAAATATTAAATAATAACTTGAACCCTTCAGTCCAGTATTAGAATCAATAAAAAAAACTGATCTCTGTAACCGAATCAAACAAAATAATTAAAATCAAGCCTCCCTTCCTCCTATACATGGGCAGAAAATTGAACAGTTCCTAGTGGCGTCACTAGACCCGGGGAAGGAGGGAGGAGGCCATTGTATAACCAGCAAATCTCTCGTGAGGAAGCACTCTAGGCAGCTACGTTCATACTCGTGACCCGAGCTATCTTTACACTCTCTGCTGCCACTATTATAAAATAACAGGAGTACAGTACATGTATTTCATTTCCGGTTGTGTAAAACATTAACATTTTATTACAGAGCCCTATAATATTATAACAGACAACTGTGATGAGGCGGGCGAACGCCCAAAACAGGGTAAGTCTCTCTTATAATAACCAATAATAATTTATGTGCCATATCTGTGATTAGGAGGTTATTTGCAGTAGCTATATTGTATCCATCCAGCAGATCTTCTGTGGCAACCTGAAGAAATTGGCGACATCTACTTGTGGCAACAAGTGAGGACGTTTCGACGCCATAGCCACGAGTCCCAGAACTAGCTGTTTGCTCATATGTTCCACACTAATATGTAAATTGAAGCCTTCAAATCAGATAAGGCGATCAAGTACACAACCAACTCTAGTAGATTAACCAACTAATTATTTAGTATAAATTTTCCTGCCAATTTAGAATTCTCGATTGATAGGCTACAACTAAACCCCCCTCCCCGAACTTGTATAGGAATATGACTTGTGGGAAAATTTAAATTCATACAGTCCACTCAATAAAACATACAGTCCACTATGCTATCATAATAAATAAATAAATTAATTATACATTATATATTAGAATACATTAATTAATTAATAAATAAATTAAATAACAAAATCCCACGAGTCAGAATTCCCCACACACCCGGCAGTTAGGCAACTGTTATGGGTCACATCCTGGGAAGGTTAGTCATTGGCCTGGGGAAACCTCTATAGGCTGAATAGACCTACTGCACTGCCCAAGACATTGATTTACCTTTATTCATAACTGCGTTATACAAATAATTACAGTTGCAAATGGATTGGACAAGCATAAACCCGCAAAGTTAAAATTAGAGTTTATATTAATCCGTATGGCCAATGCATTACTGCACAAGGAATATAAATCATAAAAATATAATTTAAGACCCAGTGACAAGAAAACATTACTAAAATACATGAACATTTTTAAACTTGTATTGATAAACCATACATATTACTTAATTCAAATACCAATTCTGAAGCTTTGCTTAAAGACATTAGTTTAAAAATATTTGTTGACAATTAGAGGTGTGAGGTGCATGTTGGCAAAGAAAAATATATAAAGCACACGTCATATTAAATTTGGGATTTAGATACTGTACAATATATAACATGAATTTCTTGAAATTTTCCACATTCTTTGAAAATTTGCATCAACAGATTCATGGGCTAGACAGGTTCACATTCACTTGGAACATACAGCTCATGTAGCAGGCATATCATCTTAACAGGATTTATATTTTTTTATATTTATTCATTATTTATATTTTATTCATTTCTTGTATATTTATTCAAGCCCTCTCTTTGTGACAAATTCCTTAATAATGTGTGCCCAACCACTTTAGCAGGGCGGTAGAGCGACGGTTTCGCTTCATGCAGGTTGGCGTCCAATCCCCGACCATCCAAGTGGTTGGGCACCATTCCACTACCCCTGCCCCCGTCCCATCCCAAATCCTTATCCTGACCCCTTCCAAGTGCTATATAGTCGTAATGGCTTGGCGCTTTCCCCCGATAATTTCCTCCCTTCTTAATAATGTCAAGTATTCAGCCGAGTTATTGTTTTCCACGCTGATTTCTTGCTTTATTCTTTCCTGTTGGCTTGTTAAATCACTATACACCTCAATCATTTGTTAGTTGCGTTTTTCTTACTATCAAATATATATTTATTGTAAAAAGTTTGAATAACAGATTATAAGCAAATGTGTGAAAATGACCTTTCCTGGGTGGGCTGTTCCCTTCAGACACAAAAAATATAATTTGTTTGTGAATAATTTCTTCAGGAATTGGTTCAGGCAGCAGGCTGGGAAGGAGACCGCAATATCCATGAGGATGGACTCCTAAGGCAAGTCTTAACCATTTACCCCATATACAATTTTGCTTGTGAAGGTCAGTATTTTAAATTTCCATAGTTACGAACCATACAAACTGAGACAATGGAAACGCATTTACTGTATATGTATACACACACACACACTTCTATAATGCTAGTGTTGAGACAGAGAGAGAGAGAAGAAAACCATTTCAAGTACCTTACAGAACCCACAATGCCAAACATTCTACCATAACCAAAACATATCTACCAAACCTCATTTGTATACAACGAATTTTCCACTGTAAATTGGGCTAAAACACATTCACCTAAACAACGAAATGTGGCGAACATTAACGAAATCCCTAGTGTAACCTCCCCCTTAACCACACTCCTTCCCCTCACACCCATTACCCCTTCATCCCTATATTAATCCCACCTTTACAACACAAGTTAATGCATCATAATAATTTGGATACGTCCTACTTTCTGTCCAAAGTGTACTCTGAATTCCTAAAATAGCTGGATAATTAAAGGGCAAAGAGTGTCTTACTCACCATCTTTACTGTTGTCCGACTCGTCGTCTGTGAAGTAGTAAATATCTGGAAGAGGAGAAGTGTGTCAGGGCGAGGATTTGGGTGTATTAGCCAATGTAAACAGAGGAATGAGAGAGTACACTCACCCGCCATGTTGAAGTAAACACAGCCACTGAGGGCCCCGCGCTCCCTGGCCGGTGACGTCACACACATCTCCAGGGTTCCAGCACCCGCCGCTCTACCACACTACCACATTATCTACCACACTACTACATTATCTGTCACACTCTTTATCATATTACCACACTCTCTACCACACTATCTACAACACTACCACACTACTACGTTATCTACCACCCTCTTTATCATATTACCACACTCTCTACCACACTACTACATTATCTACCACACTACTACGTTATCTATCACACTCTTTATCATATTACCATACTCTCTACCACACTACCACACTACTACGTTATCTATCACCCTCTTTATCATATTTCCACACTCTTTACCACACCCCCATACTTTCTACCATACTACTACTACACTCTACCACACCTTCACACTCTCTACCATACTACACACTCTCTACTACACTACCACATTCTTTGCCATACTACCACACTACCACACCCCCATACTTTCTACCATACTACTACACTCTACCATACCACTACACACTACTACACCATCACGCTCTCTATTGCACCCCCACATTCTACTACACCACCACACTCTATTAAACTCTCTACTACACCACCACACACTGTACTACACCACCACACTGCCACACTCTGTACCACACTACCACACACTCTCCACCACACTCTTTACCACACCACCACACACTCTACCACACCACACTGTGACGGTGTGGTAGATATAACGATATAACAATTGTGCCGTAAAAGGAATTCTTATATAATAAGTGTCCTTAAAACTAAATATCGATGAGAAGAATGGTCAAGATGATTAATAACGGGGTGGTTAATGCAGTAAACATATAATGGCAAATACCAAATATTACTTTTATTATTTTGTCTTCATTTCTTAACGGAAGCACATTAAGTTAAGACAGGGAAGTGTCTGAAACTTGAGATGGGAAGGAGCTATGAGGCTGTGATGGTTCACACAAGCGTACCATATGTTTGTGACACTTCATATGAGCGGGTGAAGGTCATATAGCCAGCGGCTACACTTCTCGCAAGCACACTAATAACACCCATTCATTCTCTACGCAGAAGTGATTTTTTTTTTAAGATCGTTTTATTGTTTAACATACTTCATTCACACCATATAGCTGCACTGTTTATCTCTGTTGCACACACGCGCACAGTATACCAATGTACACAATGATGATTGACAAAGTAGACGCATATATGCTAAAATTCAAGAATGAATTCAACAATTCAATTTTATAAGAATGTAATTACTATGCTATGTATCCTCACAATCCCAATGTACCTTCTTGTATATATATATAAATAAAATAATAAAATAAATTCAGTTAATTTGTTGCCCGCAACGCTGTGCGTATTAGTGGCTTTAGGCTTAGTATATACTGTGCGTAAATCACGAAAGTTAAGACGTGATGAAAAAATGTGTGTCAGACCACGGAGGAAGAATTGAAATAGGAATTTCCTTAAGTCCTTTCGTATTTAATAATACATATTCAGAAGGGTGAAGCTTTATCTACAAACTAGCTTTATCTACAAATCCAACATTCTGTTTTTCATTCATTCAATTTAAGCTTTGTTAATCTTTCTTCATATGAAAGATTTCTAATTTGGGAGCTGAAGCTGAAGAACCACACCAGGTGTCTTGTTACTAACGCTTCGATTAATAAATCCCAGTGTCCTATTTGCCTTATTACGAGCATTCATGCATTGATCCTTTGGTTTTAAATTCTTACTAATCATAACTCCCAGATCCCTTTCGCAATCCGACTTCGCAATCTCAACACCATCTAGCTCGTATCTTGTAACTCTATCATCATTACCTAGCCTCAAAACTTTGCATTTATCAGCATTAAACTGCATCTGCCAATCTTCTGATCATGTCAAAACCCTATTTAGATCAACTTGAAGTGATAGTGAGTCTTCTTCCGTGTTAATTTCCCTACCGATTTTCGTATCATCGGCAAATTTGCAAATGTTGCTACTCAAACCTGAATCTAAATCATTTATATATATTATAAACAACAGAGGTCCCAGGACAGAGCCTTGTGGCACTCCACTAACAACATTATCCCACTGTGACTTTACGCCATTTATACTAACTCTCTGTTTCCTATGGAATAGCCATGCCCTAATCCAACTTAATATAGCACCCCCAATACCATGAGCCTCTATTTTTTAATCAGTCTTTCATGTGGCACTGTATCAAAAGCTTTGCTAAAGTCAAGGTACACAACATCACAATCCTTACCACTATCAACTGCCTCAACTATGCTGGAATAAAAAGATAGCAAATTTGTTAAACATGAGCGGCCATTTGTAAAACCATGTTGCGACTTATTTATTAATTTATGTTTTTCATAATATATATATAATTTTTCATACCTGATCAACCAGGCTGTGACTCATACGTCAGGCTGCGAGCAGCCGCGTCCAACAGCCTGGTTGACCAGTCCAGCAACCAGGAGGCCTGGTCGACGACCGGGCCGCGGGGACGCTAAGGCCCGAAAGCACCTCAAGGTAACCAAGGTAACCAAGGTAATCAAGGTATATATAATATAATTTATCAGATTGCAATTACCTTACTTAGCTAAATGAACTTGGAGTTCGGTTTCTGACCCATTATGTGCCCCTGCAACCTTTTCTACTACCTCCCACGGGTAAAGGGTGCATAACAAAAAGCTCATCCTTAGGCCCTTGCACAAACGCCCTCCAGAATTATTTTATTGAAGTTTCACAATTTTCAAAATAGATCACTAAAATTGCAAATGAACTCAGAATATATAATTTCTGAGGTCTAACGACACACAGAACAGGGGAAAATAATTTTTAATAAATTAAGTAATACTTATAAAGCAAACAAAAATGAATTGAACATTAATAAACTAGTAGGTGAGAATTAACTTATAGAGGTTATACAAGCTATTGCGAAATAGACATTAATAATAATTTGTAGATACACAATAATAATAATTTGCAGTGTTCGTGGCGCAGTGGTAAAACACTCGCCCAGGAAAATTAGGATTAAAACGCCAGCGTACTGTGGATTTGCAAGAATGTAAAAACGCTTGTATAAAAAAACACAGTAAACTCTAGTAAATGAAAAAATAATGAATTATGAAGTAAACGAACGAAGTAAGCTATAAAGTAAAAATAAAGTGAATGAATACATATGTGCATGAACGATTGAATTGAATTGAATCGATTGGAGAATGGTACCTGCTTGATGGGGTTCTGGGAGTTCTTCTACTCCCCAAGCCCGGCCCGAGGCCAGGCTTGACTTGTGAGAGTTTGGTCCACCAGGCTGTTGCTCGGAGCAGCCCGCAGGCCTACATATAAACCACGGCCCAGTTGGTCCGGCACTCCTTGGACTGCACGATGTATATACAGATGAAAGAGTACAGCACTTCCTTCCACCCTGGCAGATAGTACCTTTTGACCTCCTGACCCCTGCATACCCCTCAAAGAAACTAATCACAAACAACCCTCATGCTCAGCTTGCTGCTAAATTAAGCACCATAGAACACATTCACAATATACAAGCTGAAAACAACATTGCACAGACCATATACACTGACGGATCACTCAATACAGCTACAGGGAGGGCAGGAAGTGCTGTTATTGCTCATCAGCCCGATGGCAGCACAATTCAAAGGAATATCCGAATTAGTAACTGGGCGTCCACAATGCAAGCCGAGTTGGTAGCAATACTGGTAGCACTCGAAATTATTAACAACACTGAAGTAGACAGCTTAATTATTTCTGACCAGGGGGAGAAAGATACTGGCAGTATGGGGCGTTAAAGTTTATTGAAGATTAAATTCTGCAGAACATGTAAATATATAAAGTTCACATAAAGTAAGTAATTATATAAAGTTTATATTAAACACGGTTTATATTATAGGCTTAACAAAGTTGATATTATATAAAACTTAATATTGAACATGTAAATATACAAAGTTTCAAATATAATTTAAGGAATATATAACGTTTATATTAAAATATATAAAGTAAACATATAAAGTAAATATATAAAGTAAGAATTAACAGTAACAATTCCAAGGACTAGATTTAACTTACGGCCAGAAACCAGAAACCCGCCAGAAACATCCCCGCTTGTGATGCAAGCAGTGACCATTTTCTGACTCCCTTTCCTCACTACGAGCAATAAACAGTTTGCAATCAAGTAATAACGTGCTTGTCTTGTAAGCTAGACTTAGATATATAAGAATACTTAACAAGAGGGTAAATATAAAAATGTTGTGGATTCCTTCTCACATTGGCATGCAGGAACATGACAAAGTTGACGCCCTTGCTAAGGCTGCAGTAAATAAAGACAGTATTGAACGGAATCTTGAGTTATCAAATAGGTCCCTTAAAAGTGTCATTAGACGAGAACTCCTAGATGGATTTGAAGAAAGTAGAACAGTGCAAACTGGAACTAGTAGGTCCATTGTTCATCACAATGAAATGTGTGAAGTAAAACACATGTGTTTTCATGTGTGAAGTAAGTATGGGGCAAGTAACAAAGTCAGTAGACTAACAAATGTTGTCACAGCTCGTATAAGACTTGGATACAAGTATCTCTGGCAGTTCGGCTTGTATAGGGATCTAGATGAAGTAAAGTGTAAAGTGTGTGGACATAGACAGGGACACACACTCGAACACTATATCTTGGATTGTAGTAAAATTGAGCCATTTAGAGATAAATCTAAGCTCACTCTGTATGATATGGCAACCTATCTTATTACCATGGATAAAGTACCTGAAATCCTTGCACTGTATCCATATTTCGCTTCCAGTAGATGAACGACATATGAGATTCAGAAACAAGTAGTGTATTGTGAGGACTAATAATAAACAGAAGCTCCCCTATGACTCTGTAATATCCCCATTGGCCAAACTATTATGTATTAGCGATAAGACCTACCATTAATATATGATGACTTACTGTAAATATGTAGCTCTTGTAATAGCACTTTCTCTGTAACTAGCTGACATTGTAACTATAAGGTGTGAAGGATACAAGAAATTTTTATGTAATAATCTAAGATGGGGTCTGATAAAGACCTTTTGTACCCTCTGTAATG